GGGAATATTTCAAATAAACAATTTGCTCTGTGTGTGTGACACTGGATTTCTTTACAGCCACGTTTTTATCCCCAGGGAGTTCTCAGAGCAGTTATTAAAGCTTTGCTTAATTCAATTGTATATATTTCCAGCCTATTTCATGCCTCAGTGATTCCATCTCTTTGACACATTCCCTGAACCCGGGTGAGCAGCTTTTCACAAAACTGTGATCCTGGGTGAGCAGACACACCGAACTCCACCAGTGCCAGGCCTGAGCCGTGCCCAGGGAAGCCACACTGCTGTGCCTCTAGAGCCCATTTGTTACCCCAGAGTTAATTAACCGTATAAAAAGTTAATTAACTCTATAAAAAGAATCAAGTTACCCGGTATTTCCAGTCCCTGGGTCCCTCTGCTCCCCTTCAGTGCCAGAAGAGTGGAAGTCAGTGATTCAAACCTGCTGCCCAGGCTGCAGGTTCATCAATCAACTTCTCAACGAAAATGCATTTCCTGATAAATTCCACAGGAAGTTGCTCAGAAAGAGAGATTTCGGTTCAGTTCAGGTTGGTTCCACTTGAATTGAAACATCCAGTTAGAACCGAATTGAGCTGTTTAATCTTGAATTGATCTGACATTCAACTGTGACTCGCTCAGCAATGGAATATCGCGAGGGAGTCGAGGTCTGTGTCTCACGTCCATGGGCTGTGTGTAAAGCTGGGATTCCTGCAGGCTGTCCTAACTCATGGACATCCCGAGGTGGGAAGGATCCCAGCGCTGCAGGAGATGGTGCCTGGACAGCACACAGGGGCTGGGGGATCTTGGAAAGCAGAACTCAGGGCTCTGCCTCAGGAGGTGGTTTGAGAGAAGCACAACACGGGATGTTCTTGGATTCAAAACTTCCTGGTATTTTACACCAATTTTGCTTTAGGTGAGTGGAGATGGAAACTCTGGCTCCCTCCCCCTGTTCTGAGCCACGGGGAGGTTCATCCCCCTCATCCCCTTCACTGGAGGAAGCCGGAGATGCCCAGACAGAAGTGTTGGTGAGCGCAGGGTGAACCTTTCCCAGCTGCACTTCCCAGTCTCATCCCTGTGCTGACATCAAGGAGGGACCCTGACGTCTGCCCTGCCGCTCCCTCTGCCCATCAGTGCCAGCCCGGGGTGCCCAGGATCTCCCAGCTCCGGCTTTGCTCCTGCCCAGACCCCCCTCTCTGACGTCCAGGGGGTTTGTGGTGGAAGTCAAGGGGGTTGCTTGGGAAAGAGGGGGGTTTAGTTGACGTCATTGTTCCTCAACAAACAAAAATAGCAGAAGTGAAATCGTGGAGTAAATTCCTGACCTTCAGAGGGGCACCGAGTTGGGATTCCTCACCCGGCGGAGTTCTTCGTGCGGCCGCAGGGGATGCCCTGACAAACGTCTCATGATTGTGATCTCACCACGAGGTTATTAACAGATCCTTATCCCCCCTGGGGGAGGAAGCAACTTGTGCAGTGCCAGCTCTGACAGGGGTGTGCAGTTTGCCCACAGTGGTCACCGCAGCAGGGAAGGGCACACTCGGTGTCACTGGGAACTCACCTGCTTCGTGCCACGTCCCAGGTGATGGCCTTGCTCTCCAGTTCTTTTTTTGAGGGAAAAAAAAAGGGATATTTACCAAACTGGCATCTGCCCTGTGCCAAAGCATGGACAGCAGGAGAAATTTCTTCACAGAACTAAGCCAGGGAGGGCACACGAGCACCAGTTGGGTCTAGAGAGGGTTTAAGCCTTCCCACAGATGTGGGCAAACTGCTGGGAATACCCATGGGGTATCAAACACTACTGAGCAGCGAATCATTTAGGGAGCTAAGGAGATACTTATTAGGGAGATAAAGCATTATGGCCCCTAAAAATAATTGAGGGTTGAAGTGTCCCTGACCAACCAGCAAACATCCTCCCTGTGAGCTGTGTTACCTTGTTCAAAAGGTAGAAGGTTTAGCACCAATCCACTGCTGTCTTTGGAAGAAAACTGGGCATAGAAACCAGGGATAATCCCATCAGTGGTTTCTCCAGGAAGAGCTCATCCAGCCCTCTCTGTCACAGATATGAAATTTCTCATCCCTAGAATTAAAAAATAGTAATTAAGAAAAGATTTCTGTTGTTGTTACACTCGATTTCTATTGTTGTTACTGTCACTCTTTCTGGTTTGGTTTCCCCCCACCCCCCTGAAACTGGTGCCAAAACTAAAATGTCTTTTTCCTGCCTTTTTAACAGAACCGAGTGAACAAAGCAAATTGAAACTGGTTGTTGACAGAAATTACTGACTTCTGGAAGTCACAAGTGAAGTTGTACGTGATGACTTACAAAAAAAATAAGACACCAGCCTGATAAGTGCAAAACCACTTCAAAAAACCCCTCGAAGGCCGTGGAAAAAGAAACGTCAAAGCGAAAGAAGGGAACTGAGAGCACAAACAGTGAGCCAGGTCTGAAGCAGGATCCAGGCTCTAAGAGCCCAGTGCCTGATCCCTCTTGGATCATCAGATCCCCCTGGGAGAGTCTGCCAGGCAGTAACACTCTGCAAACACAGCGGGGGATTTCAAACCCGGGGATCTGAGCCCTGGAATGAGCGTTCAGAGTCTTGACCAGGTGTTGCAGCTCCCTGAAAGCACAACCAGCCCTGGCTGCAACAGTCCAGGGTGGGAGTGGTGCCTGCCTGGAAAAACAGGTGGAATTCCAGCCCTCCTGCCTCCCTGATGTAACTGAACCCCCTGGTTCTGCAATGCAGCACCCTCAGCTTTGTATCCAGGTGCCTGGAGAGCTTGGGGCTGCTGCAGGTGAGGGGGAGCTGAACTCACAGCTAGGATGGTTGTGTTGTTTCAAGCCCTGAGCGCTCACACAGAACATGTGCCCTGCTGCTGGTAGGCACTGATGACACTGTACAAGGAAAGAGCGAGAGCTACTCACAGTTTACAGAGAGGGTTGGACTGTGCGTTCCCTGCACTCCCTCTCTGGGCAGGTTCATGGGGACTCCTGGTGGCAGCGCCTGCTCCAGCTCACACACCTCTGCCTGCACACAACCTGCACCATTTCCATCTCCAGTCGGCTGTGAGGGGTGTTTTCCCTCAATATTCCAGCAGCTGGGACTGCTGGGAACACTTGCCAGTTAAGAGAATGAAGGGAGGTCAGCACAGGGGCAGGGACAGCGCTGGGGTAGCGACGGTGGCAGCACAAGGGGTTGGATTGGTGGCCAGTGGAACATTTGCTTTGAGTAGCTCTTGATAAATTGAAGGAAAAAATAGCTTTCTGAAAAAAATACATAGTCTCCATCCCCACCTCCCCACTCTCAGGGGCTCTGGACCTGCTCCCCTGAGCCCCCCCAAGGTGCAGGGGACGGGGTGTCCCCACTCCTGCCCTGAGCTGCACCAGCTCAACACTCTGAATGGGCTCTGATTCCGCCACACACAGGCTGCCCCAGCCACCCCTCTGTGCCAGTGTTCGGGTTGGCTTTGATATTTCATCCCTGCAAAGCTCCATTAATCTGTTTTATTTCTTTCTGTCACCAGCGTAATCCTCTCTGTAAGCAGCGTCTGCAGCTCATTTGGCTCCAGGCAGAGCAGCTTGGCAAGACTTGCCCAGGTGATACACAAGTGATTTTTTTACCTTTTTTTTTTTTACCCTTGTTTTGTTTCTCCAGAAGCCTTTTTTTCCCCTCTGAAAGTTCAGCTGCTGCACAAACACGAGACTTTTGTCTTTCCTGGGGAGCCAAGCTCAGCCACACATGTAGGTGAGGGGTTTGGAAGGAATTTGGGTGCATGAAGCTCTTGGGAGGCCCAGGATCTGGGTTCACTTCACCTGGTGAATTGCTTCTGAACAACCTCACAAGGTGCCTGGTTCATGTTTTAACATTTAAATCCCTCTCAAATTTACCCTTTGGGCCCTGCTCTGTTACTGTATTCCAGCTTTGTAGGTCAGAAGGTTTTTTGGGGTGATAAAATCTAATTATTACATTAATGTAAAAAAAAAAAGCCACTCCAAACCCCTTTAAGAACGGTTCTTTTTTTAACCCAGGCATCTTAATAACTTTTACCGTGGTGTGTTTTTGTGGTGAGATAAAAGCATATTTCTGAGAACAACCCGACGCAGGCTCAACCTCCTCCTGCAGAGCGAACCAGCAGCAGCACCGTGCTGGTGTCAGAGGTCACAACGCCCGACTCAAGACTCAGAAACCCCTGGTTTTTCTTCAAGAGAAAAACAAACTGAAGAAAACAACCCCCCCTGGCAAGAGGCAAGGGTTGGGGTTTGCCTCCTGGCTTCCCCTGCCAGTCCCCCTGGGGTGTGGGGGATGGCTGTGCCCACCCACCAGCCAGAGAGCACCCGGCCAAGAGCTCCTCCAGTGAGCACAGCAGCAAAGCACGAGGCCTCTTCCTCCTGGGAGGGTTCCCGGCCCTGCTGAGGACCTGCAGGTGGGCACAGGGTTGCTCTGAGGCAAGGGCTGGTGCAGGAGCACAGCAGAAGGGCCACGTTTCTCCCGAGGCCGGTCCCTCTCCTGCACCAGCTCCCTGATGCTCCAGTCCCTCATGGGCACCTCTGCCAGGCACCACGGGGCTGGCCAGAGCTCCAACACTGCCCACGGGCATTTGTTCAGGTTCTCATGTGCTCAGAGAAGTGATTTCACCCGTGAGGATGACACCCACTCCACTCCGCTCCCCCAGGGACACACCCTGCGCTGCACACACCCGTCTTTGCCAATAATGAGTTATTTACATACACCTTGGGAATTTGGAGCAGATGAAAAGCACCCCACCCCCCACCACCCCGCCTGCAGAACCCAGGGCTGCTGCAGATAAAAAGGTGTTGCACAACAAGGGTTTGCAGCACCTCAGGTGTGGAGTCTCACCTGAGCCCTGTGGGGGTCGGCCCCCAGTCCAGGCAGTACAGTATCTGCAAGAAATCAAATCCCATGTGTTTATTCTCCTCTGGCTTGAGATGGAGAACAGCTGATGAAAGCTCTGAACCAAACACTGCCATTACCTTAAAAGACAAGAACAGACCACTGTGAGTTTAAAAAAAAAAAACCAAACGTGTTTAATTTTATTCTTTTTTAGACCATTTAAAAAAAAAGACCAAAAGGATTTAAAAAACACCATCTCACAGACCCACTGCTCTGTAAAAACACATTGATTCATTGAAGCATCACGTGCTCTCTCAGTTGTAAAGTCAAGAAGTTGCCTGTGGCTGTTGTTGCAATTAAGTGTATTTTTGTTTTTTTAGGGCTTTTGCTTATATAGGGCAAATTGTGGCCTTTTCTTGAAGTTCCCAGAGGTTGTGAAAGCTCATGACAAGCAAAACTACTGTTTTTTACCATTTGTGCCGTATCAGTGACTGCCTGCTCAGAGAACACGTGTTTAAACGCTCTCCTGCTCTGTACTGTGCCAGGGCTCTGGCTGAGGCCACACCAGGGTCTCCCTGTAGCAAAAAAAGGAGTTAATTGGTAAAGAAAAGCAAAGGCTTGCTGAGAGGAATCCTGCACCACAGAAAAAAAAAATCCCTGAAGCTGTGTCATTTACTGCAAGCCTACACTGAGTCCTTTGGAACTGGATCTCCTGACACGCTGCACGCAGACCACGAGCAGGTTTCCACCACTGTAGAGCAGCTCCTCTAGAAAAACAACCAAGTTACACCGAAAAATCCCTTTAACTTCATCTTTCAGCCTCATTCCAGAGCTGCTCCTGAGGACTGAAAGCCTTCTTTAAAAGCAAAGACCGGGGCAGCTGCAGCAGAACTTTCCCCTGGCTGGCCACAGCACTGGAGGGTGCAGCAGTGGTGGGACAGGAGAGGCTCCAGGTGACATCAGGCCTTTGCTCCACAATAACATCAGCTTTAAACGCCTCAGTCATGTTCCAGCCCCTCCAGAAAGGGCTGCAGCCTGAGAGAGGCACACCTGCAGCTCACTGCTGCCACACAGGGACAGGAAGGGCCTTTGGAAACACCGCCAGTCATGGCAGTCACGGAACGAGAAGGAAGAGAGAAGGCCTGATTTCTCACTTAAACCTAAACCCAAATCTGTCTTTCTAGGGAAGAATTCCAAGTGATACAAGCCTCTCTCCACACTGCAACAGCTGTGCTTAAGACACAGGAGGTTCCTTTTCTGCCTGCTGCAGGACCGGCCCTGTGGCTCTACAGGGCCCCTCACATCGCTACACCGGTAACCTGACGCGCCATCAACCCCCGGGGGGATCCTTTGGAGGCAAGTGACAGAGGCAGGGGAGGTACAACAGCCGTTCTGAGATCACACAGTACTTCATTACAGACACAGTGGTTACTCCTTCTTGTCGCCCTCCTCGGCCGTGGGGTCTGCGGGCGGCTCCTCCACGGTCGCGCTGTTGCTCTCCGAGCCCGTGTTGCTGTCGCTGGTCCCCTCCTCGGCCGTGCTGTCCACCCCCTCCTGCCCGCTCTCCTTGTCCTCGGGGGTGGAGGTGCCCTCCTCGCCGTTCTGCTGGTTCTCTGCGCTCTCCTCCGCGTGAGGCTCCTCTGGAACAACACATTTCTCGGCGTCACTCGCGTGCCAACGCGTTTGTTTGGGTTGTGCAACTGGGATTTGGCTTGTAACAAATCCGAAGTGTTCCACGGCGGTTGTGCCACTCAGAACGTGCAGTGGCAGGCACAGCTCAGGGACCTCGGTGCTGAGGATGCACCTGGTCCTGCCACACAGCATCCTGATGTCACCCACAGCTGCCTGACCTCAGAATTCCAGCCATAGGAAAGCCATGTGCCTTGTTAAACCAGAGACACTGGAATTCAAAACTCCTCGTCCCCCTTTCCTTATGCTCCTGCTGTTCCAGCAGTGAATCACTGAGGTAGCATTCACTGAGACCTCTGAATCCAGCAGCATTTCCTACTGCCACTGTCCAGAGCACAAAGCAGCTGGAAAATCCACCTGAGAGCAGCTGTTCCATCCTCCTTGCTAGACACGGACACTGGGACGAGAAAACCCTCCCAGTTGCTCCCAGTAAACCAATGTCTAACTCAGGTTTAGAGAGCATTTTTTTTGCCTTGGGTACATCACACACAAAGCACGACATGGGACTCTGTGTGTTCTTATCCCCTCCCCTCTTAAAAATGAGTAATTAAGTAGAAAGCAACTGTTCTCCTGGCTGAGCTGGGGCTCCTCAGAGACCCTCTGAGGTGCTGGGAGGATTCCACAGCAGGTGTTCAGGTGCAGTTACCTGTCTCCATCGGAGTGCTCTCCTCTTCCTTCTTCTCCTCCCCCTTGCTGGCTGCCTGCTCCTCCTCAGCTGCCAGGTTGTTCTGACTGCGCTCGGCTTGCTCAGCTGCCTCCTTCTCCCTTTCCTCCTGCCTCTTGCGGGCCTGCTCCTCAGCCTGGGCAATCTCAGCTGCGATTTTTTCCATATCCACTTCCACCTTCAAGCTGCATAACTAGAAATTAAGAGGAAGAAGAAAGCTCTTTTACTACCTCAGGCTGAAAAACAAAACATCAGTAAGCCCCGAATATGAGTTCAGTATTTCTGTGTGCAACATAACTTTGATTTGACAAAGTTTGTATCAAAATCTTCGGTCATGAGGGAGATATAGGCATATTAACAAAAATAAAGGGGGAGGGGATAAATAAACAACCTAGAGGTTGTTATTTGAACACAGCCAAGGAGAAGAGTGTGTCCTCCACAGTGGCTTCACCTTCCTTCAGGTGCTCCTCCTCAGGTCCAGCCTGGAGGAACCCTAAACTCTACTGGCCCCATGTCACCACTAAAGGTCCCTGAAGGAGCAGGAAATCACCCTGTGCTTTTTATCACCCACCCCAGGGCACTGCCTCAGCAGCTGGGTCATTGCACACAACTGAACTGACGCACTTGTACCAGAGGGGAACCAGCAGCTTCCTCACAGAAAGTGAAGCAAAGTGAATTGTACCCTTTTAAGCTCGTTGTTGAAGGACTCTGTGCTTTCCAAAAACTTCCTCTTCTTTTCCTGGTGACGCTCCTCAATTTGCAGCAGCTCAGCTTCGAGTTTACGCTGGAAGTGAAATGAATGGCAAGAACTTCACTGTGAAGTCACCTGAGAACCGGGTAAAGCTACAGCTTATGCACAAAAATATTTCTATGGGGTTATTTTTAAATATTGCTCTAATACATAAACATCCTTCTGCCTGCCTTGATCTGACAGCCAACAGCTCAGAAGTTCATACTGAAAAGTATGAACAGTAAATGGGTCCATGCAGCAGTTCAGGCATATTGTAAATGATGCTTCCAGCATCAAATGTGCACATTTTCTTTCCTATTCTGCACCCCTCAGGTCTGGATATACACAGCCCACAGGTAGAGGCACACTCCCACATCAATTACATTCTCATAACACAGACCACAATTCAAAGGAAAGAAGGGAAACCACCCCCTCCACCCTCCAAATAATCTGTTAATTAAAAAAACCCAACACACCTCTACCTAATGCTTGTCTGACCTCACCCACACGCACACTGACCATGCTGACAGGGTTCTTTTGGTAACATGAGTGTTTGGAAAATACAGGCATGTGCCCAGTCAAAGCTGGGTGCAGGTGTGACCTCACCAGATTTCCTCGTATGAATTTACCTCTCAACTAGGAATGCTACAATAGGGACAATTTACTGTAAAAAGAATTCATTGCAAACAAGGTAATGAGTTGTCAGGTACCCAAAATCACAACTCCACCTATTACCCAGCAGACTTATGCTGTAATAATACAGAGGGCTGTATGTCAGAATGAAAAGCTATGGAATTAATACCTAGGATATCCTACAGAACAAAGTACACCTTAATGTGACCCTCAGCAACAAAACAGCCCAGCTGGTGAAGTCTCACATCCTGCAGCTCCCAAGCAAACCCAGGGATTAGCTCTTGGAGTGCACAGAATGTGACACCCAGCAAGAACAGTCATGTAAGCGATCAAATGATCCGAGACCTGGAGTCCAGCCCAACAACCACCACGTTTCAGCTGCATCCACGTCCTTCCTCTTTACCTGATGAACCATTAGGGACTGAACCTGGCGCTTCAGGACTTGCATCCTGGCCGTGGTGACCACGGAGCGGACGTCGGGCACCACGCTCTCGCTGAGGATCTCGCTGATGAGCCGGTGGTTGCGCTGGAACCGCGCCGTGGCCGTGTGCTTCATGGAGAACCCATCGTCGTAATCTGCAACACGAGGCCGGGGTGGGGAGGGGGGAAAGTGCTTCAGTGCTTCAGTGGCACGGGGAGCCCCGAGGCTGACGCTGTCCCCACAGCGCTGTGTGGGATGGTAACCCTGGCACATCACGGAGCGCCCGGGAACACACAGGGAGCACCAGGGAATTGCACGGCGTTCCCCTGGCACAGCTCTCACAGCCCACTTCACACGCCTCTCCCACAGCTGAAACTGCCACTGGCCTGGCTGCTGACTGACTGCCTTGCTTTCCAACGTTTCCCACAGTAAGAGGGAATATTAACGCAGTGAATAAAAGAACCAACCCTGATCAATCACGTTAGCAGAGCGAAACCCAGTGCAAAATGCAAGCAGGACAGCGACCCCTCTGTAAACAACCTCTGTAGCACAGATCAAAACCACTTACTTTTTGAGACACTGAAGGACCGAAAGCATGAAGCAGTGATATACATGTTTGAGCATCACTGAAAATTCATAGGAATCTATTAGGAGTACTCTATTTATTTATTCTATCTGTTTATTAGTAAATGCATTTCTCCAAAGAGAAATCAGTTCAGCAGTAAGTATGAATTATATCCCAGAACAACGTCACGTAGGAAAGTCCAAAAGCTGAATTAACTTTACATCAAATATTCCTAACAGAGGTGACCCTCCAACTATTCACAGAAATTTTAAGGAGAAGCCTAACAGCACACCAGGAGATACTACCAGAGGAGAGAACTAGTCAAATCAAAGTTTCTGTCCCCTTTGTTTTCAAAGTGTTATGTTCATTTTCTCATTGAGGTATCTGTTTAAACAAAGCAAAAAGAGATAATGGCTGGTTCTGCCCAAGTTCACCTGGTCCAGGCAGCACAGAACAGAATCTCAAATCCCCAAGTTCCAGCCAGTCCAACACTGAATGTATTTACATAAATGTTGCAATTACCTCACACAGGGGAAAGTGCTGTTTGCCATGAGCTTTATCTCAGAGGTGTGCTTTTACGAGGGGGAAGGAAAAAAAAAAAAGGGTGTAACTGAGTACATTTTTCACCCTCAGGTTTCAACAAGTATTCGGTGATGAATTTAAAAGCAGCCATGAGGTGTGTGGGGCTGACTTTTCCCACTGGGTGGGGTGCATTTCCTTGCAGTCAAATAAACTTTCAGAATTTTCTCATCAACTTGTCAGCAGCAAGGGCACCTCACTCCCTAAACAATCTCAAATGACAGTTGTTGAACACACTGAAAAGTTCAGGTGCTCTTAATCGCACCAGAACTCTGCCTGTCAGATTTATGTGCTTCTGTTAATAAAGCACAACATTCCACCCAAGCTGGATTAAATCAGGCATCTAAGCCTTTTCTAATGCATGTGCTAAAGCTGTAAGCAGACTGATTTGGTTTGAACTGTAAGCATTACTTCACACTTAATTAAGAAGGGTTGGAATAGCTTCTGCCACGGGTGCCACCTTACTTTTGGGAACAAAGTCAGCTTTGTTACGGAGTAAAATGCGATAATCAGTATCAAAGGCACCAGAACAGACAGGCAGTGAGGTTAAGCGCTGTGGAAGATGGGCAGGGGTGGTTTTGTGTCTCTCTGCTGCTGGTCCTGTACTGAGCCTGTCCCACTGGCAGCGCACTCAGGCACTGCTCCTCTTACCGTCGGGGTCCTCGGCGGGCTGGATGCTCATGTAGGGCTCCCCCTTCTCCATGCGCGACTGTCTCTGCCGGCTCTCCTCCTCCAGCGCGGCCTCGGCGCGGCTCTTGGCGTTGATGTAGGCCAGGTAGGCAGGGGAGTTGTGGTAGGCCTTCATGGACTCGTTGTACTCGATCTGAAACGTGACCAACACACGGTTTTGATCGCACCACCGGGCGACTCCCGCCCCCGACACAACCGTTGCCCCCGTGCAGCTCACAGGGCTGTCCTGGGCCCGCTCTGGCTGACACACCAGGGACCGGGTTCTCCCAGCCTTTCTCTTTTACAACTCAGAACTTCTTCCATAGTGTCCGTTCGTGCTTTAAAAACACGGCTGGGCCTTTAGGTCCGTTTCAGTTTTACTGCCTGAAGGTCTTAGGACAGCTCTGTTAGCTGAGATTTCAGACTCAGAGCACCTCAGAACAAGGCACTTATGATCAAGCTCTGGTTAAGATAAAATTAGCAAACGTACAATATTCTCAATGACTCTCTGGAGTTCTAACTAGATCTGTGATTCTGATTTTCTTCTCTTTCCTTACTCCAGTATGTCATGAACCAGTTTTCAAAATCACTTACGATTTGTCCATTCTTTGGCCCATCCCTGCACTGGGATGACACAGGGAGCTGCAGCCAGACTCCTGTCTCCTTCTGCAGCAGGATGGCAGCACTATTTTCACCTTCTTTGAAATACCTTCTCCCTTTGAACTGCTTTCTTTAATCTCACTTTTAAGATTTTTTTTTTTAATAGTGATTTAAGGTATTTCCAATGAAAAATGAGATATAATCTACAATATTGTTAAAGGTACCTAAAAGTCTTGTTTTCTTTACGATCAGGACCAGAATCCTCCTGCCTGGGCACTGCACAAATAGAAACCAGCTGGCCCCTGCCCCAAGGAGCTTACAATCTAAACATCATTAGAAGGTAAAAGATAAAATTCCTGCTTTGTTTGTTTGTTTGTTTTCAGCTAAGAGCACCCAGTTTGCAGTACTTCTCTACTGCCTTGGCATAGAACCAGCTGAGATTTGACCAGGTGTCCACAGCCCCAGATGCCTGCCAGGCGTAAACACAGCACATCAGCTGGACAATTCTCCCCTTTGTACCTGAGAAATCACAAGAACAGCCTTGTACAGGTGCTCAACACTTACCAACCCAGACATGAGGAGCTGTCGTCTCTTGTCATTAAGATCAGTAAAACCAAAACAAAAGCACAAGAAAACCCTAGAGGTGGCAGCATTTTCTATTAAGAAACAATACACTAATGCCACAGTGTGGAGTTCCACCAGGTTACACCAGGAAAACCAAACCCCACGTGACTGGAAGTCTCTTATGAACACGTTCATGACAACAGCAGTAGTTGCAGAGCACCAGTTTTGAAAGAGGGTTTTGGTGTTGAGACAATCTTTTCAATACTGATGTTGTACAATCAAATCCATTCATTAAACAGTTAAAATCGACACTCAATTATAAATACATCATTCTGAATTAGGTCTAAAAACTGACCAGTCACAGTTGATGCACAGTTATTTTAAAAAAAAAAAAATCTAAGAGGCGTGTCAGGACAAACTTCCACTTAAGTTACATACAGGGCTCTCGTGAATGCCTCAAACACCCCTGCATGGGGAAGATGAATTTTTCTTCTCAGACCAGTTCCTAGAAGAATCAGCTGTAATAAACATCCCAGATTTCTTCCATTTACCTTTTCAGCTTCATATTCATTCAAATACTCTTGCTTCTCTTCATCAGTGAGATCTCGCCACATTCCTCCAATAATCTTGCCAATTTCCCATAACTTCAAATCGGGATTGGACGCCTTCACTTGGTCCCAGACCTTAACAGAAACAGCTGGAGCTTTACTAATGATATCTAAATACTTCCAAATTAAACATTTTATATTGTCATCTCAGTGTTCTTTCTGGAATCACCACGAAAAACAGGATTAAGTTAGGAATGAGTCTGTCTAAACTATCTGGATTATTTTCTGGGGTAGGAAGTCAGTAGGAAGCCAGCTACTGAACCAGGCAATTGCTGAGTGGCTTTGGTCTCATGGGAATATTGCCTTTAACCCTCTCAATTCTCTTCTTAAATGCACATCGCTGCATCTCGGGGAAAAAAAATGCTACTGAGTAAACACATCCAGCAGTAGATTATGACAAAGAGACTGAGCTTTTCAGATCAGAATGTAACATTTCACAATATTTCAGTCTTGCTGATCAATCTGAGTTCCAACAAGTTCTGACTCCACCAAAAAGGTCTCTAACTTTATAGGGAAAAAAAAAAAAAAAAGGAGAGCTGCCAGTGTAATTTCTTGCTGCACCACTTGATTTTTTTTTATTTTTTTTTTTTGTGTGTTGATGGTTTTTTTGGCCTAAGACAGACAGGCTGGTAAAGATACTTTACCAGAAGTGGAAGAAATTCCTTCTGGCTCACCTGCTTCAGCCAGGCTGCCATGCCCTCCCCATGCCCCATCAGACTCCAGACTCCACAAGAGTCTCTCTCCTATTTCTGTCACACAGTTCACAGAATAGCGAAGCGAACGTTGCCACGGGCTAGGGTGGTGAAGGAGAACATGCAAAGTCCACTCATTGCTACTCTTCAGTCCAGCTACAGCACTGCACCAAGCCCAGAAAACGCAAGGAATACTTCCTTTATATAAAAAAGTTCTGTCAGTAAGTCACAGGAACTTCTGAATGTGGCGGGGTGGATCCTTGTCAGCAGACAGTGGTAGGAATTAGCATTTTAGCAATTTTTTTTTTTAACCCCCAAGAAAGTGGCAACTGTGTGACCAGACTACTGCTGCCTTTGTTCTGCAGGGCAGACTCTGGACTTTACATCCCCTTAAGAGAGCGCAGGCTGTTAGGAGTCAACGTTTAGAAGCTGAAACTAAGATCATAGCAATTAATTGTTAGCACAAACCAACACTGACTTTATTAACTGACGGACACGGTAATAATACCCACCTTCCGGCTGTACCTCATGTAGGGCATCAGGGGCTTGTCTGGGGGTTTGGGGGGCTTGGGAATGGTAATACCAGAGGAAGCCTATAAAAAAAACCGGATAAATCCATTCGTTAATGGGATTGCTGGGCAGTTTCCACACGCTCCAGTGTTGGAAAACACTCGCTCTTCGTGCATTCACACACCCCCACCGAGAGAAGCAAACACCACCACTTAAAAAACGACCCAGTCTGTGAACAGGCACTAACTAGAGCTGGTCCTCATAGCAGTGATTTCCAACCTCAGTTTGCCCTTTTCTCTCTGTAAGTTTACAGAGCAGTAACTAGGCAAATCCTCAGAAGGGCTCCATGTTCTTAAAACTGAACTACACAGCTTAGGAACTGCCATGGAGACACCAATCCCAGCAGGCTGGTTTTTCCTCACTCCTGGTGAGCGATTTATTTTCCCTGTTTTGACAAATTTAATGTGGCTACTGCACAGGTGAAAAAAAGATAGGCAGGAAGTTTTAAAGCACTAAGTTAGAGATGTACCAAATAATTTTAGCAATTGCCTGCAAAATTCGTCAGTGGTAATTTGGAGCCAATTAACAGACTCACGATAAAAAGAAAACCACCCTATGCAGCTGAACTGCAAAATGTGTGCTCTGCTTGTAGCCAAGCTGTAATTAATTGTCCCAATTAGCCTGTAACATGCTCCTGTGCTCTATCTTCCCTTGGCTTTGACACTGTCAGGCACTGCTGGCACTACACAAAAGGACACTGAGCACCAACTGCTGCTGGAAAGCTGCTGCCTCCCCTCGTGTCCCCTCAACCCACAGAACACCCCACAGGGTTTCCTCCTAGAACAGTGCAGTGCCATCACAGCCCCTGTCACCTGCAGGGTCTGAAATCCTCCCCTCTTCCAGCACTTCCAGGAGTTCTGTTATATTAAGTGGGTGCATTTAAATAAAAATACAAAGGTTCAAGACCTTTCAGGACTGTGGCCCACAGATCAACACTTGTGTGTAGCCCCCAGAGGCCCACGTCCCACATTCGGTTTTCCAATTTTAACTCCCAGTAAGTTTTTTTTTTCTTTTGTTCTGCTGAATTTATGGAGCTCTATGAACAATGCATACAGAACTGTGTATAAATAATGTGCATGAGGTATATGCATCACCAGAATGTATACATAGATACACGTACAGATGGGTTGGAAAAACATTAACGGAAACTGTTCAATGCTTTTAAATTAAGAGGGACTTAAAGACACCATCCATATACTGGGATATGCATGGCAGAGCAGGCTGTGTATGTTTGTGACATACAGAAACAATGGAAGTTCTCAGACAAAACCTGACTTATTCTCGTGTAAGGAAATAGTGTCCGTTCAGTCAATTCCAGCTTGTAGGGGAAGGTCCTTTCTGTAAATGCTTTAACAAATAGAATGAACTTCATATGTGAAGTCTGAAAGAAGGTTTATATGAGAGGCATAAAAGGAGTACACTTCCATTCAAAGCACCACGCATTTTGGTCCTTGAGAAATCTTGGTATTGCTTTGCAAACTGATGTTTCAAGGTACAAAGTCTTACACGAAAAAACCCTGAAGTTTTGAGATATTAAAAAAAACCCCACATCAGGGGTTTACTCTGTTGTGTTATGAAAATGTTACATTTCCCCAGTCTACTTTTTGTTTCCTAACTCCATCCAATTCTCAGCACTTCATCCGTGTTTGAAATGAACCTGTCACCTCCCTCATCACTTGCCTCCTCCTCACTTTGTTTACTCCATGAAGAATGAATGTGACATCCGTTTCCCACACACTGACATATGTAAGAGCTGAAAGGATTCTGTTTTATTATCACCACACTTTTGTTGAAAAAATAATGACTGAACTTGGGACTGTGCAGTTATTACCAGTCTAAGCCTGGAAAGAATAATTAAGTCTTGCACCTCTCGTATGGCTCAACAGGATGATGCAACGACTATCAACGATCTCCAGTTTGCAAAACGCTCTTCCTTATTTTTGTGCCAATGAACCTCAGCAAAATGAGCAGTTCCCCCCCTCCAACAATTCGTACCCAGCTACAGAACTCCTCCCTACGCATGCAGTGGTCGCTGAAGACCACAAAGTCTGTCATTTTTGGAGTTCTGCATCACAAACCATCACCAGTTCTCCCTGCTGAGTAGAAGCTCATTTTCCTGCAAAAGGTTTCATTCAGAGTGAAGGGGGAAGGGGGGGAGGGTGGGGAAATAAGAGTCAGAAGTGAGTTGGTTCTTTTAATAAAGAAGTGGCAGCAGCCAAGACTCCGAAGATCCTAACCCTAAAGCCATTTCTGGTCAAATCCTGGTGTTTGCTGGAGGATGTAATAGTTGATTCTCCTACCGTGACCCGGCTGTTGGTGCCCGGGTTCCCTCCCAGCCTGTAGTTGTTGTAGGCCAGATGGCTGTATGGATTGTATCCCACAAACCCTGGGGTGCTGGGCATTTGCTGATGGAAACAAATGAGACAAAAACACGAATGAGAAATGAGCTCAAACGAGGAAAACACAGAAATGAAAATGAACTGCAATATGGCATGCAAAAGCAACCAGAATTCAAACAAGCAATGAGGTGTAGCAGTCGGTGTCTTCCCAACACACACAACTTACTCCAGTACAAACCTAGTAAGGAAACAGGACTTTTAAGCAAATGTGTCACTACAAATTTCTGTCTGAAGTTGGTTGATTTTATTGCTATTAACTGTGCAACTTATTTAAACGAGTATTCTGTAAATCCAGCTGATTGCTAATAAAATTTTCCAACATAGGCCACCAAGGAATTCAGAAGACTCTTATATCCAAAGGGTGAAAGTTACAGGGTGACACAGCACCCAGTGATGGGCCAGAAATCCCCTGTATCCACATTTACACCAACGAAAACCCCTGCCTGATTTTCCTCCCAGCATTCTGCCTTCCCAACAAACGTGGAGGGGGGAGGAAATCTCTCAAGGCACCATCTGTGCACCACTGCCAGTGGCTGAAGACAATTCCCAGAGACATCCCTCTGTCATAAGGCAGACTGAGGAACTCTAGTTCTGCAAAAAGATCTACAGGTTAGAAACTACAAACTAGTCTGAACAGACCACCCAATCCAGGACAACTCAGAAGTTAATCAATACATCTTCAGTCATTCATGAAAGTGGATCGATTTGTTCTCACCTCAGTCATGCAGAGAAAGATCTGAGTTCTTTACACTCCCTTCTCACTTATCTAAGGACACCCAAGTGTCACTGGGTTCCCTATATTCCCCCTCCTCGCTTAAATGTCTACCTTTTTCCATTATCCCCCATTTCCCAATCAAATTTTGTTGGGAAAAAATAGATCAGCTATTTACCAGTGACCGTGATTAAACCCTGACTGTCGTGGTCCTGTCACTCCATTGGGATTCATCAGAGCCTGGAGTGTTTCTAGACATTTGATTGCCATCCCCACAGTGTCCCTCTCTCCAGTAGCCTTAGTAAACACTCCTACATTCTTTCCCAGGGATTTGCTGGCTGGACCTGTTCTAGATCACAGTTACAAAAATTCTACAAATTGGTTCAGGACTCCAAGAACCAAAGCATGACACACCCAGACACTGAACAGTGTTGCCCTAGGAGCTGACTGCAGTTAACTCTGAAGGTTTCAGGTAAAGGCAGACACACTGCAGGATTTTATTAACATACAAGTGCAGAGGAAGATTATCCTTTAACACTCAGCCTTCCATAGAGATTTTATTGCCAAGCTTTTTAACTCAGTCACAGCAGCTGACATGTGCTCATCTGTATGCCTGGGTTCATGACATACACACTCACTACTTCATAAGACACCACTTTACTGTAGTTTTTTTTTGCATTACCATAACAACAGGTTTTGCATAGGTTGAACTACACCTCTTCAATAAAACCAGGTGACAATTGTAATCTCCGTCTGCTTAATTCTTTATTTCTGCAAGACAGGATTTTAAACGTTACCAGGGAACTACCTTGCAACACATGGAGACTTTTTATTTTCAGCTACAGTACTGCAGTTAGGAGAACTACTGGGACTTTGTCCACTGCAGCACCTGGAACTGGCTGTGGAAGAACAAGCAAGGTTATTTGGCTGCTTCATGACTTGCATTAACAGAGCACAGACCATCACCTGAAGGACTGCACAAAATACGATATCAAATACAAGAAAAGGTGCTTGTTAGACAGGCAAGGCACATCACTGGCTGCAGTTCTGATGTGTTTCAGGCATCCTTCTGAGGGGCTGCACCACAGCAACACAAACAATTTAACATCTGTGTCCATGCTACGTCCCAAAGGAATGCCATGTGTGTGCACAGCTCTCCAGGCAGGAATCCAGGGCTCAGGGTGGATCCATCACATCCCTCCTAACACTGGCACAGGTCTGTGCAAAATGAAAACGCTGAACAAACTACGCAAACCAAGTTTTATTTGTGTAAACTTATGAAAACATAACTTGGATTTATGCACTGTATCATTTTTAAGCCTCTTTACAAGTAAAGTATGGCACAATAAATTTGAAGGATCACATTCCATCTAATTCCCATCCTGCAGAGACCAGGGACACACTATTGGGCAACAGTTTTCCAATCTTCTTTGGTTTAAAAAAATAAAAATCATCACTAGAGCATCTTTGCTCATTCTTCTGTACAAAGGATTTATCGTAAAATCCAAACTATTCAGAAATGTGACCAAAGAGGAGCATTTGCTTTCAAAGAGTTCCCTGCCATCCAGGAATGTCACTGGAGAGGATACAAAGCTCCCGCTCATGTTTCCCTCAGTGTGATCCCACAGCACTTTACTAGAAAGTAAAATACTTCCCATGTCCTGGACTCCAAAATACCAGCGATTTCAAGGAGTGCAAGGCTGGCATCAGGAGTGTTTCACTGTTCTGTCCCAGTGTGACAGGATTTTGCACATTCCTACATTCCACTGAAATGCAGCTCAGGACAACAGAAACATTTTAAAAAAAAAAACAAAATGCACTGTCTGCCCATGATTTGGGCACAGGCTCAGTGGGAAGTTTTAGAATTAAATATGTGAGTTGGTTCTTAACTACTCCAGCACTGCTGCAACCCCCTGTGAATCATTTCAGACAAGTGACTGCTCACAGAAAATTCAGTGCCTGCAAGATCCAGCCTCAAAGGCGAAACAAATTTATTCAGCTCCTCTCTCGCAAAGTGCTTAAAAAAGAATGGGATTAATTTAAACAGTTCAATTCACGTTAATTAGTGCCTGTGTTTCCGATACAGGAAGGTGATGCCACTCCATAATTATTGCTCTGGGAAGTTACTAAAGGCTCTGTGTTAATGAGAAAAATCACTATACTTACGGTTGCAGGAGCTGGGGTGGGAGGTGGGGCATAGGATGGCCTTTCTGTTAAGATAGAAAGGTAAGCACAATTTTTTTTTTTCTGGAAAATCTGAACGAATTCTTTATAAGGCATCTGCTGTGGCCAACATTTTTAAAGCAATTTACAAAAAAAAACAAGACAGAAATTCTACCGGAGACTGGAGAATCTATATGTGCATTTATATGCACACCAATTACAGGGAGGGAAAGCAAAAATGCAGTCAAACAGGATTTAGAAGCTGTGATATCTGGATTTCCCACGAAAGCAACATGCCAGGAATCAGCCACAGCGCGATTTAAGGCCAAGAGTTTGGTCAGGAATCACTACACTTCCTGTATTTCCTTTCAGGAACAATGGGATTATCTCACAAACAGGTTCTGCCGAACCAGATCTTTTAACTCACCAAGTTAAAGGAAGGAAAAAAAAAAAATCTGAAAAAAACTTACTTGACATTTTGATAGTCAAATTTTCAGCCACCTGACATTATATTTGTACTTCTGCAAGACAAAAGAAGATCACGCCAGTGAGTGCTGTGCCTCTGCTCCCCCAGATCTTTGAAGCTTCAATTAGCATCGTTACCACCGACTCCCAAAGAGTTTGCCAATTTCGGAATAAGGACAAAAGCGCATTTAGAAACTTGGGTGTTATCTCTTTGAAAAACTACTGGACTTTCCAAGGAATCTGGCCTTAAATAGCTGTGCAAGAGCACGCAGGCTTAGACTCATCTTCATATTAAAGCTTTTAAGTAAATATATATATTTTTTTCCCCATTAAGGAATAAAAAGAACACACCCCATTATTTTACACCGACTCTTTCAGAAATCGGGCATTAATGCACAAACGACCAAATCCACGTATCTGGGCACATAAAATAACCACCAAAGCCCGGCAGCGGCGGTCTCACAGGCCAGGTTTTAACCTTCCGGCAGCGAGGTTTTACACCGAGGTGTAACCAAAAATAAAATAAAAAAAAAAGGGCTGTAACACAGTATTTTTTTCGGCTTTCCTCGGCCTCAGAACCGCGGCCCGGGATGGTACACGGGGAGCTCGCACCGGGCCGCGGGAGCCACTCGGCTCTCCCCCCCACACCCTGCCCGGCCCCTCCGGCCCTGCCGAGCCCCGCAGCCCCCGGGAGGCTCCGTTTCACCCCCGGGAGGGTCCCGTTTTACCCGCCGGGGCCCCGCTCGGCCCGACCGAACCCACCGCGGACTCACCGGCGGCCGCGCTCCCTTTGTTCCCCCGGCCCGGGGCGGCGGCGGTGCCTGCGCGCTGCGCTCCGCACTTTCGACACAACCCCCGCCGGGGATCCTCTCCCCGCCAGCCCCGCTCACAACGGCGGGGCCGCCTCGGCTGCCCCGCTCCTACCGGAGCCCTCCAAGAGGAGCCGAGCCCTCCCTGTGCCCTCCCGGGCGGCGGGAGGGAGGGAGGGAGCCGTGGCGAATCTGCGGGACTCCACATCGCGGGGCGGCCCCGCCCGCCATGGCGGGCGCGGAGGCGCCGCCTCACGAGGGTGAGGGGGCGACACGGGGGGGGGTCCCGATATAAATACATAATATACATCATGATTGTGGTCTAAATCAGCGCGACCAGCTCGAAATAGTCCGCTGCTGAGTCGCACAGGGTTGTAAACTGCCCAGTGGAGCGGTGGAATTGCCCGCAGTCCCTTGCAGAAAACAGCCGAGGTACCACACGCTCAGTTAAAAAGCAGAAAAAACAAACAGTGAACCATGTGGAGCGGTGGAATTGCCCACAGTCCCTTGCAGAAAACAGCCGAGGTACCACAGGCACAGATAAAAAAAAAGCAGAAATAACAAACACGGCGAACCATGTGGCTCTGAGGGGGTGAGGAGGATTCAGAGCTCAGCACTCAGCACAGGAGCCTTTTTTAGCACTGGAGATGGCCCGAGTGACTGAGTGAAACGCGACAACTCCGGCAGCGAAACCCGAAAAGTTTGATGCTGAATGTTTGACTTTGAAATGGAAGGTTTGAGATTGAACTTTAAGGTTTGCTGTTGAAACGCTCTCACATGGCCAGTAAGATGCATTTCCGGACATTCACGAAGGAGGATTATGAAGGTGGATTTGAAGGAAAGCCAAGGGGATGGTACCTGCCTAATCCCAAAGGGCGGTAGAAGGTGAAAAGAATTAAAACTAATTCAACATGAAACCACGCTGCTTCAAGTTGGGGCCGTTTTCTCTTGGTGCCTACAGTTGCATTAGGCCACTTTGCTTTCATTCTTAAATAAACTTATTTTTATGAACAGATAGAGACAAGAGCTCTGCCCTCCTCTGCTCAGCCCACGCCGTCTGTGCCCACAATGAACATTTATTGACATGCAGCACAATAATCTGTGACTTCAATTTGATATTGAAAGAAAGTCAGAATTGAAAAGGTTCCTCAGCCAGCCATGTATCAGCCATATACCCTCTAATCCACCACCTTCACCGAGGCAGAATGTTTGTAAAGAAAAGGGGAGAAACTATTAGTTAAGAAGTGAAAAATAACCTGGTTTTCCCCCTGGTTTCATGAATTCATCTCTAGTTTATTAATAATACTTTTGTTGATAGTGTAAACTTCATTTAACGTTGTTATAAATTTCCACGGCTTACCAAAATATTTATTATGGTGTTCATTTACTGACACATTCCATGCTAATAGTTCTGAACAATTACATGTTTTCAAAGACACTGATGTATTCCTCTCTTTGTTTTATTCCTCTTTTTTGCTGTGCTCTTTGCCTCAGTTCCATGTTGTGATAGTAAAGGGTTTGCCTGTGTACACCTTTTAATGTCCTGTACAGTGTGTGAGTAGTTTTACCGATTTAAAGGAACTGTTTGTTCTGCACTGTGCTCACTTTGGAGGGGGATGATGTAAAAACTTATTCTTACCCAACTGTTTTAATTGCCAGCAGCTTCATAAGCTCTGGAATGAGGACAGACATTCACTGGGAAGTAGGTTGAGACAATGAAACTCGTTTTTAGCATCAGCTCTTTGCAGCTGCTCGTTGGCAGAGGCTCAGCTGGTCTGTATTTTATTAGCAGCACAGAAAGGAAGAGTTCTGTGCCATAATATCAAGCTTTTCAGCATTATATTTTTTTAATTCAGCTTTAACATGACCTAAAATGAGGCTGAGATGTTGTTGCATTACAGTTTTGATGCCCACGTGGAGTTCACACTGCCACTTGTGGAAATTCAACTAGTTTATGAACAAAAGAGTAAGTTGTTTCCATAGGATGGAATCTGTAAATAATACAACAGATAGATATGTACTGACAGGGGAGAAATCACAGGAAACACATGTTATGGTAAAGATTCTGAGGGAATTTGTGTGGTTTTAATTGCAGAGGAGACCTTAGAAACTACTTGATTACAGTGCTACAGATTTTCCTGTCCACAGCTTTTCTTGTGCATTTCTCTTTCACTCCTTTCCCTTTAATATGCACACCTTGGCACACACAAAACACGCACTGGCAAACTCCATTTTAATACTTTTTTATTGTAGTACTACAATTTACTTTGGTAAGTTGGTATCCCTGTTTAAAGTGCCTTAAAGCAATTAAAACTTAGTTTAGATTCAAGTATCGTAAAATGTACAGAGTCTAAGCACAAAAAAAAAAGCTGCATAGTGGAAATACTGGAGCAGGCTGATACATTCAGGATGCCAAGTACTCAAGAGGTAACAACACCAGCTGGGGGATTCAGGTTAAGGATAATTAGCCAGCTTGATACAGTACAGACAGGACGGGGCAATATCGATGCATTGTTACCCTGAACAAATGATAGAAGCGTAAATGAACTCTGAAGGAATCTGTAGGGCCAGTTTTGTGCACATGCCACGGGTAATAAGGCAGATACTGACGCTGAAATCGATCCTTTAGCGCTGCCGGGATCCGGCAAAGCCGGAGCATTGGGGTTTCCAGGCTCTGCAATCCCGGTGGGAGCTGGGATCAGATCCTCGACGGAATCCTCACAAACAATCGTTCTTGTCCTGGTTACAGTCTGGTTTGAGTCTTTGATTGTCCCATAACCTTACAAAGGAGGAGGGATGGCTCTGTGTTTGCCCACGGCTACTCCGAGCAGGACTGGGGGGGGTTCCTTAAAGGATCTGCTTGACTTGGACTTTGAATTTGTAGCCCTTATTTTGCCCAGTTGATTTGAAGGAATAACAGTTGTACCCTGGTGTAACAGTAACTTGTCACAGATGGAGAGAGTTCCCTTCATGTTTGTCAGAAGAGGAGTTTGTTGAAGATATTTTAATGCACACTGCTACAATAAACAAAATTACCGGAATACCGGCATTAAAATGGTTAGTTGACTCCTCACATTTGAACAATTAGAGGGTAATTTCACTTGCCCTGGCTAAGAGAGCTGTAGGACAGGTGTGTGCAGACACATTGATTTTTCAGGGGAAATCACTGCTTCAAAACCAGGGGAACGGCACAGCTAAAGTGTTACTGGATTGTAATAACACTTTTAAAAATGGGTGTATAAGGATGCAAGGGAAAGACATTCTTGCTCAGTTGCTGCCTAAAAAAACGAATTTAAAAATACCAGCCACTTTTAAAAGAAAATTGTTAGTAGTTCATGTATTTTAAGAGCATCTTTGTACGTAAGTTTTGCTGTTAGAAAGAATTATTTTAAAATATATTTCTAGAATTATGACAGATGTGATATAAATTATTGCAAGGATTCCTTAGTCATTATATATATATGCAATATTGAATATGTAAGAGAGTGAAATACGCATTTCTCATTTCCAGAAAGAGAAGGCAAGTTCTCCTTTACAAAAGCAGAATATGTCAAACTATAAAGTCCTAGTTTAAATTTCGTCATATTTGGTGAAATTCTACAAAAAACAACAACCATGAGAAAATGAAAGGGCTGCACCCAGAGTATAAAACCAGTAGAAGTTGGGCTTCTTGGAATCTGAACTGCCTTGCTCCTCTCCCTGTTTTTTTAGAGGACTTTTGTACGGTTTTATCGTGTGGCTCCACGTGCCTGGTAAGGTGTGGTTGTAGCAGACAGCGGCTGTGCGAGTCCATCTGCAGTTTGCTCCCAGAGCCTGCTGGAGATGCTCTCTGGGGGAACGGGCTGGGGTTAAGGTTTGATGGAGGGGATGCTGCGGGATCTCCTCATCACCAGCCTGACCTCGATGTCGGGGAGAGTTTTCTTTTTGGTGTGCAGACACCCCTCGTCCGTGGCTGCCAGGTGGAGGTCAAACGCAGGGAGACGGACTTTTTCCTTAAGCGAGGGTTGTCCTTAAAGAAAGAGCCTTCCCATTCCTTAATGACTTCATCCACTTTTTCTGTCCTGAAACAATAAAGCAGATGTATTTATGATTTTTCGGGCAGTGCGAGTTATCTGTTTTCGGGACTGCTTTTAAAACAGGGAGAAATTGCATAATAAAGTGTTGGGTTATTTTAGATAGTACTGAGACACTCCAAGTTTTCTTTTTTTCACAAGTTCATTCTCCTGAACAGCTAAATAAAGGGTGAAGGTTCACTGTATTCTTCTTTTTGTACTTTTAGGTAGACATGGCTACAAAACCACTGCTCCAAACACATCAGGCAATTTGTTTCCCAGGAGAAAGTTTGGAATCCAGGCTCAAAAACTCTGCAAGAAGTCTCAGTGCTGTAATGGGCCAGCCAGAATTCCTGCATCTGAAAGCCTTCAGCATAGGGAGGAGAAAATCTAGTTCAGATCCAAACCTCAGAACGTAGAGCTACATTACATTAAAGAGGGAAAAAAAGAGCAGGAGAAAAATAGGGGAAAAGCCAGCTGATTCAGGAATATTTAGGGACCCAAATCCTGCTGATTTAATTCTCCTTGTGTGCATCAGGACCCAGATCAGACATTTGGGGCTCTGAGGCCTCGCCCAGCTGAGTTAAATGGCCCTTTGAGTGACTTTGTGTGACCAACCAAGCTCATGTCTGAGAATACATGTCAGGTGTGGGGTGTGTACAGTGGACCTGGTGATGGTGTTAATTTTTAATCCGAATTCCTACACTTTTTGAGCCACCAGTTCCAGTTCAGTGCTAGGGATGTGGTCCACTACAGTGTGCTTAAAGGTAGCCTTAAATTAGTCTACAAAAAAGCCTAAAGAGCAGCAGAAAAAAAATAAAATTAGTCAATCCAGTACTATTAAAGTAATTTCAGGTGAATAACACATCCTAACAGACTTTCACATGCCTACTTGGGAGCCAGGTTCTCCCTCCCCTGTTTGGGGAAACGTAGGAGTTTCCAAGGAGCAAGTTGGAGCAGCTGAGCCTGAATTTATGTGCATAAATAGGCCCCAGAGGGACTTCCCAAACGTGGTCTGGGCTCTTTGCTTTCAGCCTTAGCGAGATGAATTATTCATAGTTTCATTCTTAACAGAAATAGAAATTACAAATCAGGAGCCCCATCCTGGTATTATTTGCTTAGGAAGCCAATGCTAATAAAAAGGACTTCCAAATGCAATGTATTGTTAAGCCCTGCCATTCAGGGCACCTTCAGGAGCTGCCACTGCAGTTCTGGAGCACCTGGGCTCTGTGGGTGTGGTAAAACAGGCACCAAATAACGGAACCTCAGAGCTGCTGGAACACAACCCCCTCTGTTTACTTCCAATTGTTATTTTGTGAAACTCCTGTTTATCTTACTGTACAGTGCCATGAGCCTCAGCACTTTCCTTCATGATGTTTCCATCTAGGATCGCTTGTTTTGTCATCAGTTCCACCTTCTCTGGCTCGTGCTTCTTTACACCATCTGTAAGAGAAAATGCAGGTACACTGAGCCTGCAGAAGGGCACAGGCACGACAAGGGTCAGGAGGTGTTTTTCCTTCTGCTGAATTGGAAAAGGTACTTTTGTAATATCCAGGAATAGTTGTGAACCTCCTTTAGGGCTGAAATCCCCCAAGGGGAAGGTGTCTGAAGCTCACCTGGAGGCAGCATAAAGGTGATCTTGCTGGTGCTGGGCTTTTTGTCGTCCTTCTGGGCAGGTATCGAGCAATGGAACCTGCAGAAAACCAGAAATGATTACAGGCTTCCAGTAACACTGAATTGCTTGCATCCCAAACTTGTCCTGTGAACAGCTGTGGCTCGTTGGGTGCAGTGATTGTGCTGCTCCCTGCAATGTGTGCGACACACCGAGCGCCACAAACGGTGCAATCAGCGAAGCTTTCTTACCCTGGTGCCATTTCTATGCATTTTATACTTTAATTTTTTAATGATTGGTTCGTGCATTTACAGTGCTGAGTGTTTAAATGAGACTCTCAGAAGTGGAAGATGTATTTTAGAGCTTTTTCTCTCTGGAGTGAGTACCTGCTCTCCTCTTGCTCCAGCAGACTGCGGTACGTCGCTATCTCCTCCTCCAGCTTCATCCTCGTGTTCAGGAGAATTTCATGCTCTCGAAGCTGTTTCTCAATTCCCCTTCTCACTTCCAGCAGCTCTTTCTCCAAACATTCAATCTCACCTTCTAAATTCTGTAGCTGCATGTGGTACTGCTGCTCCGTGGCCCGCAACGAACGTTCCAAACCCTTTTCCTGGGAAATTTAACTCGTATTATAAGGTTTGGGAAAGCATGTGCATAAAGATGTTATACATGTATATGTATATATATATATATATATATATATATAATACTGGTGTATTGTTACACCAGTTCTTTTAAGATTCATTAAACATAGGAGTAAAGCTTTCAAGGTAATACTTTGGCTGAGAAATTTTTAAGTGAAATCTGTGGTAATTTAAGCCAGGATGAAACTGTTGCCCCCTCTTGAACAGCAATCCACTGCCTTGAGTTTACAGATCTCTGATTTTACCTGTGCAGTTAGACAATGTCCAGCTCAGTGCTGTATGAACACTGCCTGTGTGTTCCTGGAGCTTTTCTGTGGCACCAGAATCAGCAAACTGCTGAATTTATTTTATGACATTATTTTATCATGAATGAACTGATAACTTTGGCCCAGGCGTTCAGCGGAAGTTATAAACCTGCTGTGGATTGGTTAGGCAGAGCGACCAGGAGCTTGGTGAGGGAGCATCATGCAAATATATGTTTGTCAGGTGTGGAAACAGGACAACAGGTGTGTGTTGAGCGGCAGATCCTGCACCAGAACACGAGCTGGGTTCTGTGAGGAGCTGGAGCTCCCAAAGCTGTTCCTGTGTAGCAGCATTTCTGCTGTGTGGTGGCTGTGACTGTCACTGAAACTGACTGTGGGATAATTTACATCAAGGATGGTATTTCTTTTTTTTTTTTTTTTTTCCAGGAGATTTTGAGTCTCGTTTCTGGCTCTTACCACGGCGTGGAGAGACTCGATTTCGATCTGCATGTGGTGCCACTGCCGTCTGGCCTCGCACAGTTCTGCTCTGGCTGCCTTTAGTGCTTCTGCATCTTTGTCCATTCTTTTACTTGCACCTTCTTCTGCCTGCAGGGGACATGCAAAAGATAACAGTATTAAAAATATTCGAATCATGAAAATAGGTAGACATAAAAATATCCAGTTGGAATTTTTGTTAGAATTGTATAAATGTGCGAAAGTTCCAAGTGAAGAGTTAGCATTTTCTGTGCTGTGTAGAGGGTAAGCTGTGTTTGATGGGAACATCTCTGTCCCTGGTATCTTTGTCCTAAAGGAATTCCCATACAAATTACCCAGTTGTGCTGAGACCTTACTCACCTTTGGAGCTTAGAGGAAGTGCAGGCGGTTCAAGTTTCCAGGTATGAATAGGGTGCTCTGGGTTTAATGTATTTTTTTCCCTTTTATTTTATTAAAAGCAGGGTTTTTAAAGCCAGTCCTGAGCATGTGTGGGGTCATTTTAGATGTGGGCTCATCTTTGATAAACTTGCCTTCCCTGTCGGGGGTGCAGCTGCTGCGTGTCCGGCGCTGCTGGTGGATCAGCCAGGCTGCAGCAGATCTGGCCTGCCCTTAGCACAAACCTCCAGGATTCCTGCAACACCAGACTGCGAGGGGACACAATACCTGATTCCCCCCAAAATTTCTTCACGTTTGATAGCCCAACATCATTTTGCCATTTGGTTTCTGTTGGGTTTAGGGCTGTTTGTACCTAAATCCCCAACAGCAGCACTGTGTGTTGGTAACATTCAGTTGGGCTGTATGAGAGAATAACATATTTACTGAAGAGCAGAACACAGTTTTACTGTGAGCAACGTAAAATAGTTCCTGCAAAGGTACAGTTTTCTTTACTAGAGGGGCTAAAAATGGCAAAGCTTGCTGTATATAAATGGATTCTCTTCAGGACTCTCTTTTCCTCTGGGATAACTATGTGGAGGTAGAGGTTACCGTGTTAAAGCCTATGTCATCATCCCTTAAATCCCAGCAATAACCCTGCTGCAGGGACAGAAAGGCATCCCGATGGATTACACAGCATTCGTTCCCTGTGAATCCATACCCTAAGCAAAATCTACTTCCGAATCTTCTAGTTCACATCTTACTGCGGTAAAATCCGGATCCCTTCCCCGAAAAATCTGCTGCATTGAAAGGAGTTACTGTACCTCACAGAGGCTGCGGGAGGAACCGTACGGCCAGGGAATGGCTCCGTACGCTGCAAGGTGTGTGGCTGTGAGGAGGCATTACCTGCGTCCTTGCTGAGCTGACGGTCTTTATCTGATTTCGGGTGATGTGCGATTCATACTTTGCCCTGATCTCTCGGCGGAGCCGGGCCGGCTCCATCCTCCTCCTCCTCCTCCTCGTCGTCGTCCTCCTCCTCCTCCTCCTCCCATCCTCCCCGGCTCCCGACCCGCTGCCGGCGGGGATGCGGCCGCGGGGCCGTTAAAGCGGCAGCGGCCCATTTTGGGGACCGATGGGGGGGTTCAGAGCCCGCCAGCCCGGCCTGGCTGCAGCTTGATACGGCAAAGGATGCCACCGAAACAGCGGTTCCTAAATTAAGCGCCGAAATGAGCGTGTCGATCGATGTCTTCGTGTTTTTGTTTCTACGTAGCTGGGAGGGGGTTATAACCTCGGGAATGGGAGGGTGAGACATGCACAGCGAAGGACGAAATTGCAGCTGCCCAGCGTGAGGTGCTCTGGCAGGGGGCAGGGAAGGGCAGAGCCTCCCAGCAGCACAGCTGGATTGCTGGCAGTGCCGCTGGCAGGTGCCTCCACCACTGCTGGGATTGGCACAGAATTTCCATCCCTGAAGGTATTTTGGGAATCAGCGAGGCAAAGCCTCAGCTGTCTGAGCTGACCCAGCGTCGAGGACTGTCCCCGTTTTGGAAAAGAGCTGAGCTCCTGGGCATCCTCACACCCAACACTGCGGTGGGTTCATGGGCAGGAGCACACGAGGAGGGAGAGGACCCAGCACTACTGGTGAGCAGTACTGGTGTGGTGAGGGCTTTGGCTCCTCCTCTGCCGAGGGCAAAGTTCTGATGAATGAACACTTCAGACACCTTTCTGCTGTCAGAAAAAGGGTCTGGGGTCATCTGTGAAGGTGTTTCAGTACCTTCAGTGCCTGTTCTCGGGGTGTTGGGTACACACAGCATGCAGAATGTGTGGGGTTCTTACCCCCTTCCAGACAGTTCCCAGGTGGGTCCAGCACAGCTTGTCTGCTGTGCTGAGCTTTCTGCAAGTGATTCTTCATTTCTGGCTCACTGGAGCTCTGGATGATCCTGAGGATCTTGTCTGCTCTTGCAAGAACAGCTCTTGCCTGTTTCAGTTTTACCTCTTGCCCATTTCAGTTGTTTCAGCATTGCACAATATCAGATACGCAGTAAAAAATTTCAGGTTTCAATAAAAAAAAAATAAATTTATCAGAGAGAACGCATTTTAGGCTCTAAATAAGAGTATACATCAGTGAAATGGTAAAACAGGCAGTAAACTTTTACAAGACACTCGTCTTTTCAGAAGTTGAAGCACTGTACCAATTAAAAGTCTCCTGGTGTGCATGAGGCATCCCTGTTCTTGGCTCTGTCTGCCAGCATGTGTGAAAGGGTCTTGTGTTTGGATTTTATTTTCCTTAGCTGTCTGTCTTCCAGCTGACCCGGATTGAGATGGGAAGGTTTTGTTGTCCAGACACTTTCCACAAGTGTCTTAATTATCCTCATTCTGTGTGGTTCTAAACCCAAAACAATGGCTGTGTTTGTCACTGGTGGGACAAGGACAGTCACGTAAGAAAACCATAAGGAATCCAACAAACAAACACAAGATGTTGTACTTAGGACAGTATAAAATAAAGCTTTCTTTTTCCCTCTTTTTTTCCCAGGTGTAAGGGGAGCACCTGGCCACGAGATCCCCAAAGGCTAAGGGTAGACAGGTGTAATCAATAGTATCTTTCCTAGGATTTATGGAATTCTGAATTCTAGCTGCTTTCAGTGTTCATATTCTATTGTTGGATTTTAGTTTATAGTTCAGGCACTGGGCAGGGATTGTTTGTGATGCAGATAATGTGCTGTGGTAGTTTGCAGACTCCTGGGGCTCATGGAGCTGGAGGGGGTTCATGGAGAATGAAGGGACACTGATACCTTAAAGCTTGTTGAGTCCTTTTTATTAGTCAAGAAAACTGGAAAATGAGGTTAGAACAGCAAAATTATTTAATCTGTTGATTACTAAAGATTATAAAAAAGCAGATCTGATTAAATGTGCACTCTGTATTTCTGGTTATTGAACACAGAATTGATGATATATTTAAAGAACACTGGAAATCATAGAGGTAATGCTGATAGAGTGAAACAGGAAATACATTGCATGACTGCTAGGAATGGAAGAGCCGACTTTGTCTGATGTAAGAGTGTCTTAGTACAAAGCCAACTTTTTATCACTTCATACAAAGGAATAAAATTATTTATCCACTTCAGCTTGGAGCGAACGGATCCTTTGCCACATCAGATTGTGCCTCATATCTTCTCTTCAACTTCCTTAACATGGGATGCGACAACTTTTCCATCTACCACTTCTTCGACTATTGTCTTGATCTTTCTGGTTTTGGTTGGATCTAAACATAAACAAAAGAAAAAATATTTACCAACATGTTAAAAATGATAAAGCTGAGCAGGGCATACACAAACAGGTACCACCTTTTCCTTTCCTGTTGGCTTCTGGTTCTAATGAGCTGTATGATGTAGGATAACACGCATTATTTTATTTATAAGAATGACTTCAGAAACAAAATATTATCAACCAAGTTCTACCTACCCTGAGAAGAATCCAGTGATTGTGTCTGAGATTTGGACCCCGTCAGGGACGAGCTTTCAAACGTAACTGCCTGTCCTGCGCCCCTAGAAATGAATCAGAGACACGTGTGGTTGCAGGATGTTTGATAGAATTGGGATGAATTCCCCCTCGTGGTGGCATGGAGAGATTATTTCAGTACTGAGCAGAATGGCTCTCTCCCCTCAGTCAGTGTTATTTCAGATCACTGTATGTACCTTACTATCCCTTGGAGAAGGCTCTGCTTATTTTTACCTCTTTTACCCAGAGGGGATTTTGCTACAGAAAATAATCGGTCCCTTACACGAACTCTCCGTCCAGCAGGCGCCGGTAGGTTTCAATCTCCATCTCCAGGCGACTCTTGATGTCCAGGAGCTGCTGGTACTCGGCGTTCTGGCGCTCCATGTCAGCCCTGACCTGGAAGAGCTGGGACTCCAGGTTCCCAATCTGCAGCTGCATCTGTGACAGCTGAGCGCAGTAACCACCTTCTGTCTCTGCCAGGGTGTCTTCCAGGGATTTTTTCTGTGTAAGGATATTAAATAGTCTCTGATTAAGGGAAAAAAACCCCACCCCTCTTTACAAAGACAAAACCAGCTGAAATAGTTTAAGGGTGTGAGTAGGGCTGCATTGCTTAGAGGGTTTTATTTTCGCCTTGAAATACCGGGGTGAAAACTGGCCCTTGTCACGTCCCTGAATGTGACCATGAAAGCTCATCTGCTTTGTGATGTGCTCCTTGCAGCCCAGTTAGATATATTACTGCAATCCAGTTAGATATTTTAGTGCTATTTAGGAACAAAAGGAATGTGGGATTTAACAGGAAATAAATGCAAATCTTAAATCCTGTGGAATCGGTATTTGAAGCTGCTGAATCGGCTCTGAGCAGTCAGCAGCTCCCCTAGAACGTACCATGGCGAGCTGAGACTGCAGCTCTATTTCCAGGCTCTGCAGGGTCCGTTTTAAATCCGTGATCTCGCTCTTTCCCGACTGGAGCTGCTCAGTATTGGTGGAGATTTCCCTTTTCAGCTCCCCGCTCTGAAATGGCAAGGAAGAATAGGGTGTAATTTCGCTGTTCCAAGCACTGAACTCATTTTTTAACACGCATTTCGCTGAGTTTGCCCCCTCTGGTTGTTACCTTTTCGTTGAACCACGCCTCGGCCTCTTTACGGTTCTGCTCGGCAATGACCTCGTACTGTCCCCTCATGTCATTCAAAACCTTGGTCAGGTCAGTCCCTGGAGCAGCGTCCATTTCCACGCTGACTTGGCCCATTTCACTGCTTTGGATGCCCTGAAGCTCCTGGAGAGGTTGAAAATAAGGAAAGGTTCTGTTAATAAAAGGTTCTACCAAAAATATAGGTAAAGAAATATATGTGATATAAATTCAATTTCAACAAGGATCTCGTGTGCACGTTGCTTGCAGTCTTTCACTTGGTAAACTCAAAGAAATAAACAGCAAACAAAACAAACAGTGAAACCCAGGAAGTCCCACTGGCTTAAACAGGGGAATAATTTGATGTTTCACAATTCCATCTGCCTTGTTATGAATTCACAATGGGAAAAAAACAAACCTCCTCATGATTCTTCTTGAGATAAGCCAGTTCCTCGTTCAGGCTTTCAATCTGCAACTCCAGATCTGCCCTGGTCAGGGTCAGCTCGTCCAGGACTCTGCGCAGACCGTTGATATCGGCCTCCACACTCTGCCGAAGAGCCACTTCATTCTCATATCTGTGCATAGGCAATTAAATATTAATTTTTTTTCGTGTCTAACAAGGTCAAATGCAAACTGTTAATGTGTTTTATTGTAGCTTTTTATATGAAATCCTAATACACGTAATTCTTGTAATATTGCTTAATAGTTTTATTATGAGTATTCTGCAAGGAAAGAGATTTTTAATAGAAAAGAAGATTTTCCTTAAAATGTTAGTAAGAGTTTTTGTTGTATTAAGATTTCCTTACTTCAGCCTGAAGTCATCAGCAGCCAGCCTGGCATTATCGACCTGCAGAATGATCCTCGCGTTGTCGATGGTTGCGTTGATGATCTGGAGCACAAACAGCGTTCAGAGAATGATTTTACAGCGCAGAGGCTTCCACAGAAGCTTTGCAACGGCTTTAAACTTTGCTATCTGTGAGAGCTTTATAGAGCTGGATTCCATCGCTGCCTTCTCTTTATTCAGATCAGACAAGCCACACTGTGTGACACAGCTACAGAACTGCTTTAATGCACAGGAAAAACTCAGCAGGTGTCACAGTGCAAGGTGACAGAGGTCGCTGCAGGGGGCAGTTCTGCAGGATAAATGTGCTCTTGGTTTCTTATTTTGAATGAAAAATAAAAAAAACATACCTTGTTTCGAAGATCTTCAATGAGAGGATAGAATTTACTGTAGTCGTTCCCAGATCCAGGGGTGCCAGTGCCAGGGCCACTTTTCTCGTACCACTCACGGATCTTGCGCTCCAGCTCGGTGTTGGCGTCCTCCAGAGACCTCACCTTGTCCAGGTACGCAGCCAGACGGTCGTTGAGGTTCTGCATGGTTTCCTTTTTGGAGCCAGAAAGAAGGCCACCATCCCC